GGGGGGGGGAGGGCGGCGTGAGGCCGAGAGGGCCCGAGCGGGAGGAGATGGCTGGCTAATCTTGAGCCATCTCTCGGGCCTACCAGAGCACAGAGCCCCTCGTTGTGGTCCCCGCTTTCTCGCCCTCTATTGTCTCAGGAGGAAGTGCCCGGAAACGACCGAGCCTGGGAGCAATCGTGGGACCTCACAGCTGCGGCTCCCCAGTCTCCTCCTGAGGATAGAGGAAGTGGGACCCAAGAGCTAGAGGCCTCTGGTCTCCCCAGCCAGGGACCTGTCACTCCCTGGCCCAGCACCCCGGAAATGCCCGAGGGTGGCACCTCGACATGGCGAGACATCTGTTCAGGAGTGGGCAGAGGGCCCTGTGGGGCACAGAAAGTAGACACCTCCCTGCGTCCTTTGCACCCTTTGAGGGTCTCCAAAGCTCAAGCTGCCAGGGACCGACACCCCCACTCAACCACCCTCTCCTTCAGAATAACCTTAAATCCAAGCCGGGCTTCTGGCCACAGGGCCTTCTCTTAATCCAACCACCAGGCTGAGTGAATCCACGCAGAGTCAGGGAGGACCTCGGTGACCCTCCGCAAACATGGTATCAAGTCACCCCAAGTGGGATGCAGTTAGCATCCTGTCTCACCCGATCCCCAGGTACCATGCCTCTGTCCGCCTGTGATGGCTTGGACCCGGCCGTCTCTCCTGCAGTTCCAGACCAGAGACTAGATGACCTGGCCTAAGCCTCTCAGGAGTGGTTTCCAGGCAGGGGATGACCCATGAGGGTTGATTCCAGAACCCACCCAGCCCAGGGAGCCCACAGACTTCCCAAGGAGAGCCAGTTGACTGGTAGGACTGCCTGGAGGAGGAGAGCTGCAAACACTGGAGCCCAGGGATTTCAGCTGGGACACTGATTCATTCACAACTCTTAGGTCTGGGAGTGTAGACACGAGACTGAACCTCGCAAAGTCTCAGGATCCACACACATTTTCCACTTATTTTCCTGAGCACCATCTGCCAGGAGAAGAAAATTTGGGAATGGATAGCTGCCTTGTTCGTCTGATACATGTGCATATATAGTTACTGGGAAGCTGGATCTCGGGGTCAATATATACAGATTTCTAATGCCAGGTAGAGAGAGATTTCTTCAGTTCTTCTATCCACGTATTCACCAAGTACAATTATCTCCAGGAGAAATTGGTTCCAGGGCCTCCTTTGATACCATGGGGGGCACTCATGTCCCTGATATAAAATGGTGGTGTATTTGAGTATAATCTGTGCACATCCTCCCACATACTTTAAATCATCTCTAGATTACATATGATACCTAATACAAGGTCAGCGCTACGTAAATTGTTGGTACACAGTATTGCACATTTTATTTTTACTATTTATTATTATGTTTTCCTGAATATGATCTGTCTTTGATAGGTTGAATTTTAGAATGCAAACCCAGGGCTCTGGAGGCTCGACTGTATGTGCAGAGCTCCCAGTACCTAGATAAAAAGGAAATGAGAAGCCCCTCCAGGAAGGAGGCAAGGAGGCTGGCATTACAGCCCAGGGCAGCCAGGGGCCTGGGGAGCCTGTCAGAAGCCCATGCAGGGAAGCTGGTGGCACTGAGGAGAGGTGCTCAACTCCACCAAAGGAGCAGGAGAGGGCCAGAAAACGCTGCTGCCAAGAAGTCACTTTAGAATTAAACTGTGGGCGGTGAGGAGGAATTTGCCAAGTAGACAAAGAAGGGCTGGGTTTTCTTGGCAAAGAAAGCAGGTGTGCAGTGGCCCCAGGGCTGTCACAGTTAGCACCTGGGAGGAGGAGACATGGGCAGGGAGCAGTAGCCCCAGCGTGGAGGACAACACAGGAGATGTTTAGTCTGACTTGGGTATGGGGAGGTCAGCCCCTGGCAGTGGTGAGGGGAACCTCAGGGGAGCAAGGTAGGGTTGAGTAAAGGAGGAGTTCAAACCGCAGTTGAGTCCCAAAGCAGACATGGATCTTTCTGCTTTTAGAGGGCTGATTTTCACTAAGTTCCCCCCTCCCCCAAATTGCAGCCCAGTGACAATTTTTCAACATTCCAATGCTCTGGGAATCTGATTTCTGCAAAAATCTTTGACTCAAGCCAATTTGTGAATCAAGTTGGTGGTCTTTCTTTCAAGATGTCTTCTTCAGGAGAGGCTGATAACTACCCAGAGTTATCAGCCTGTCTGTTTGGAGGCCTCATCTGCTCAACCACCCACAGAAAGTGTCTTCCTGTCATTTGCCCTGGTCTGGGTCCCAGGCTGGAGCAGGCCGGACCCAAGGAACCAGTGGGCACTTCGAGAGCTGCTTCTGCCTTTCCTCAGAATCTGAGGTACTTCTTGGTGATGAGGTAGAGCTCAACCTCCTTAAAAGTGACTTCGTTCCTCCATGCATTTAGTCCATTTCAAGGGTGGCGGCAAGGTGTAAGGGAGGAAGGAACAGCAGACCCAAAGGCACCCCACACCTTCCTCGTGGGCTTTTAGCCAATTGTGAGGTGCCATACCTGTCACTTGTCAGTGTTCTTTGCTAACATTCATGTGTGTGAAATGCTGTAACTATGCCCACGAAGACAAATAAATAAAACAAAGATATGGAAGCACAGAGAACAGCTACGAAATGAAAAATTACAATCCATGTGAGAAGGCATGAAGATATGAATTAAGGCAGGAAGCATGAGAGGCCAAGGCAACATACTCCCTTGCAGGTCTCTGTGGACTTCAAGTGAGATAAGTTACAGAAAAGCAGCCAGCATGGCACCTGGCATACAGTAGGCATCAAATAAGTTCCCCTCTCTGAGGCAAGTTCTGTCAGAAAGTAGGCCCATGGGTGTTCTCTGTGGGGATAAGCCAGGACAACGTCCTTGTTCCGGCTCCTCAGCCCCTTGGACAAGACCTGAGAGTCTGACCCCACATGCCTGCCAGGGTCTCCTCCACTGTAACCACTCTGAGTCTTCCTGAGCACAGCTTGAGTGACCACCGTTGAAGAGTAGGGGCCAGTGCTTGTGGCCTCTCCATCCTTCTTGCTCATGGAGACTCACCCTGAAACTGGGCCAGTGTAGCAACATGAGCTGTCTCATTCTTGTCCTCTCTCCTTGGTTCTCCCCTATACTCATCACCACCCTAACCACAAAGAAAGGTCTCTCCACCTCACCCCACATATATTCCCTACCCCGGTGTCCGGGGAAGAAGGATGTGGTAACAGTTGGTGTGACCCTCCTCCAGGTGCTCTCCTCATAAGACAGTCCTTCCCCCTGCCCTGAGCTGGTGCCACACCATCAGCTCTACATAGTCACCCTGAGCTCCTGCTGTTTGCCCCCAGGTCCAGGGTCTCACTGTCCCACGGCTCAGTCCCATGCCTGTCTTCTGGGGCTCTAGAATCACAGGGAAGGTACAGCGGACTGCTCTGCGCCTGAGGGCTCCTTGTCAGGGAGGCCCAGGGCCAGGCTAGGACATGAAACTCATGCTGCATTAAAGAGTAAGAGCTGGCCAGGCGTGGTAGCTCATGCCTGTAATACCAGCACTTTGGGAGGTGGAGGCAAGAGGATTGCCTAAGCCCAAGGGTTTGAAAAGTTACCTGGGCGTGGTAGTGTGTGCCTGTGGTTCTGGCTACTTGGAAGGCTGAGGCGGAAGGATCGCCGGAGCCCGGCACATTGAGGCTGCGGTGGCCGTGGGCGTTCCACTGGACTCCAGCCTGGGCGACAGAGTGAGACTTCAACTCAAAAAAAAAAAAAGGGGGAGCTAATCATTTTCATGTTGAAAAAGTACCCTATTTTCCTGTTTTTCCCTTTAGCTATATTGCTACAGAAGAAGGATTACTGGGCCCAAGGGCATAACCCTCTTTAAGGTTTTTTATTAAGCTGCCAAATTTCTTTCCAATGAATTGTTTTAGACTCTCAACCTGCATTATACTCTATTTCAGCACCGCGTATCATTATTTCTAAAAGGAATTAGTGTAGAAGCCACGCATGGTGACTCACACCTGCAATCCCAGCACTTTGGAAGCCAAGGCAAGAAGATCGCTTGAGGCCAGGAGTTCAAGGCTGCAGTGAACTATGATTACACCACTGCACTCCAGTGTGGGGGATAGAAAGAGATCCTATTGTTAATAAATAAAAATAATAAATTATCATTGAAGGAATAAGAATGAACCAACTGAAGAAAACATGCAGAATTGCTTTTTTTTTTTGAGTCAGAGTCTCACTCTGTCGCCCAGGCTGGAGTGCAGTGGCACGCTCATGGCCACCCCAGCCTCGACCTGCTGAACTCAGGCGATCCTTCTGCCTCAGCCGTTCAAGTAGCTAGAAAAACAGACACATGCCACCACATCCGGCTAATTTTTTTAATTTATTGTAGAAACGAGGTCTCACTAAGTTGCCCAGGCTGGTCTTGAACCCATGGGCTCAGGCAATCCTCTTGCCTTGGCCTCCCAAAGTTCTGGGATTACAGGCATGAGCCACCGTGCCTGACTCAGAAATTTTACAGGCAGAAAGTATGGCAGGAATCGAAACCTAGGGACCTGACCCAGCACCAGGTGTTGAAACGACCACAAGTAGAGCAATGATGAGGGTGAAATGGGGGGTAGGGAGGGTGGCTTGAAGAGGGGCCAGAATAGGGACAGCCCTGAACTCCAATTGAAGGAATCTGGGCCACTTTTTTTTTGAGTTGGAGTCTCACTCTGTCACCCAGGCTGGAGGGCAGTGGCCGCTCCCAGCCACCTCAGCCTCGACTTGCTGGGCTCCTGCAATCCTTCCACCTCAGCCTTCCAAGGGGCCACTTTTTAAAGATGAGGAAGAGCAATTGAATAGGTT